ATTCATTGGGTAAAAAAAGGATTTTGAAACAATACCTTGCATAAAAGAGTTCAAAAAATTGGTAGTTTTTTACTATTATGCTTATTGTAACAATAAGACTGTCATTTTTTTCCTTTCCTTTTTTTCCACACACAGTGTCTTGCCATGTTGCTCAGCACACTGACAACCCATAAAGTCAAGAAATCGTTTTTCCTCAGCTGACCAGAGCATTTTTTAGTATTTACCAAGAAAATTGTCATCTCCTGTCACTCTTTTTCCATCTATGGCTCAGGCAGGCAGAAGAGCAGTAACAGGGTTTCCCAGTCACAGTGGCTGACCTTCAGTAGTGTGTCGTTCCTTACTATCATCCTAAACGCTCTCTATTTTTTCTCTCTTTCATGGGAGCAAAAATTCTCTCAGGAAGTAAATTCACTCTGTTGGTCTCTCGAAGCTCCAGTCAGGAGTAAGAATCTGTGACTCTAGGTCACTCTGTAGTAAGCACACACAGTTGAATAGCAATTCTGAAATGGCATTGTTTGTTTGTTTGTTGTTTTATTTTTGTCTGTCATTTCTCTTTTGTGATGCTAGGGATCGAACCCAGGGCCCTGCCCAAGATAACATCTTCTCTATAATTAAGAAACATCCTTATCTTTTATATTCTAGAAACAGTTCTCACTATGAATACCAAACTGCCCTTGAATTCACTATGTAGCCCAGGCTCACATTGAACTCTAGATGGTTCTGTGAGTACCTTCTAAAAGCTTGGATCACGCCACCTCATAATAAGTATTAAAATATATTAACCACACTAGGATTTATGAGATAAGTCATCACAATCCTCCAATCTGTTACAGAACATTAAAATCATCAAGCATGTGTTCATATGGAACTACATGTTTATCAAAGCACCATCTTATTGACAACATTCTACATGACTGTATGTCAATAGTAGAGAAGTGGATCAATAATCTATTGTATCATGTTATGAAGTTTATACTCCTCTTAAAAACAATGGAATGAAGCACAAAAAGAGTAAAATAACATATGTTCCCAAATATGGAGATATCAAGAAAAAAAAACCTATTCTTACCAAGAAATCTATTTTCACCATTTTCTAAATTCATACAGAGTTCAACTACATGGCATCCAAACACCATGCTTCTCAACACGTCAAGCTGTGTGTAGAGTCATTTTTCTTCGCCATAATTTCATGACAGCTCTTTTCATCTCATTGTTTCTCAAGCTGTAGATAAGTGGATTCAGCAGGGGGGTCAGCAGTGTGTAAGCCAATGACATCAGTTTCTTGGTGTCAGGTGAATACCTGGATTTGGGCTGTAGATAAGTCATACAGCCTGTGCCAAAGAAGAGCGTGACAGATGTGAGATGAGAGGCACATGTGGAAAAGGCCTTCTGCCTCCCGGTAGTGGAAGACATCTTCAGGATGGCAAAGAGGATGCGAATGTAAGACAAGAGGATCAACAAAAAGGGCATCAAAATGATCAGAATGGTGCCTGTGAAGGCGTAGATTTCAAACAGGAAGGTGTCTGCACACACAAGTTCCAGTACTGGGGGTGTCTCACAGAAGAGATGATTAATGTCTTTGGAGCCACAAAAGGGAAAACTAAACACCCAGGTGGTCTGCACAGTAGCCACCATGATCCATGAGACCCACGACAACATCACTAATTTCATAAAAACCCTTTGGTTCATAATCACTGGGTAGGACAGAGGATGGCAGATTGCAGCAAATCGATCATAAGCCATCGCCCCCAGGAGAAAGCATTCAGTCCCACCAAAAAGAATGATGAAATACATCTGTGCAAAACAGCATCCAAAGGAAATGGTTGTTTTCTCAGTGGACAGGACCACTAGCATTTCAGGTGTGATGGTTGTACTGAAGCTTGCTTCCACAACAGACAAGTTCTGCAGAAACAGGTACATGGGGATGTGGAGGCTCTGGTCTAGGAGGATGACAGAGATAATGAGGGCATTTCCCATCAGGGTCACCAGATAAATAACCAGGAAAGCCCCAAACATGTGTGCTTGGAGTTCAGGAAAGTTAGAAAACCCCAAAAGGATAAATTCTACCACAGAGCTGTCATTCTGCCTCCTCACTGTGGAAGTGGAGCCCTGTGTTGTTCTTGGGGGCATCATGTAAGAATGAAGTCATAGTCCCACGGCTACAGCCTGCATTCACCCCAGGAGTTCTGGCAGACCAGGAAAAGAAGGGGCCATTCTCACAAAACTTTCCATCGATCACTTAGAGAATGGCCAAACACTTGTTTTAGTCAGTCTTTCCAATATAAAGGAGGAAACAAAGAATTCTGGCTTAAAAATCATAATCTGAAATATATATAAAATACTGGTCAATTTTTATTGCATGTTGAATGCTATGTAATTTGAAAGCTAAACACGTTTTAAAGTAAATATATATATTATATAATTCTAGCTCTGGTCCCAAACCATTGTTATAAAAGCACTTTATTTTACTTAATTGCAGGTAAATATAAAATTTGAGACCAAGAGAAAAAATATAAAATAGCATGTAGATTTTAAACACTTCCCACAAAATTTTTGTAATAATCTGATATTTCAATTTTTAAAAATGTGCATATGTCTATTGAAAATATTTTTTTACATTCAAAATGAAAAATAGACTATTTGTGAAAGCTATAGGCTTCGATACAACATAGTTAAGGCCCATGGGCCTATATTTGAAATGTACCTATATTTAGTGAGACCTCTCTTTTAATGAGTTTCAGGCTTATAGATCTCTACCCAAAATTAGAACTTCCCAATTCTATTGGACTGTGCCCAGATGTGATATTCTGAGAGTGAAATATCCAATGTCCATCCTTGAAACCATAATAACTTAAGAAAATGCCCTTTGAGAGTCACCATAAAACTTTAATTTGACAGTTTCCACTCCTGTCTAGTCTCTGGCCTCTCTCCAGTCTCTGCTCCATCTAGGAGTTCATTAAAACATACTCTATAACCTTTGATTACTTAATATTTTCTAGGCTCTGTATGGTCATAAACACATTAGAATCCAAAAATGAAGAAAAGCTAAGCACTACCTGAAACAGCCGTAACCCTGGACCACTATGCTACATAAAATGTAGGTCCCGACCCCAGAACTCTGTCTCATACTCCTGCTCTAGTTCCCCTCTTATTACCGACTTGCATTATACTACCATATATAAAAACACAACCACCTACAAGTGCA